TTTTTTGTTTTTGCTCTTGTGGAACTTGGCCACAATTCCTGAAATCTGTGCCTAAATTACTAACTAGCTTCAGTGATTCCTCTGAATATTTCCCTGTTTGGGTTTCTGGAAAGATTGTTTGTCAACATTATGAACTAGTACATAGAAATAATGAGTGATGGAATGAAGAATTCAGCTGGGGAGCAGGTGACACTTGTGTGCCGTGGGTTAGCTAGGGTCCTGGTTAGCCCCGATCAGAGCTTTGCAAAGCAGACTGATAAAGCTCCAGGATGTAAGGACCCAAGCCCATGCGCTGTGTTCACACCCCATGCACTTCTTGAAGTTAGATTCCAAATTGCCCTCGAAGTTGTGCCTCTCTGTTTTTCCCTGAGCCAAATCCCTCAAGTTATAGTTCCTGTTGGCTTCTGCAGGACGCCGACAAATGCCAGTCTTTTTCCTCTCCTTTTCCATAAAACATATTTATATATCGTGATTAGGAGTACTTCCTGAAAAGTACTTCATATTTTTTTTAATTGCCTTGTTTGCCTTCAACTTCCTTAATTTTCATGGTTTACATGAATGTGTGTGTAGGGGGTATATTTGTGTATTCGCGTGCGGGTTGGGGGTTTTCTCCGTTGCATGTGTTGGTTCCATGGACTTATGACCCCCACAAGCTGTGGGAGTGATTGGCCGGGCCTTGTTTTTTGTTCTTGCTTTTTTGTTCTTTTGAAGAATAGAATGGTATATATAGAAAATAGCATTACAAAGCTCTTATCAGCTCATATGAGAAGGCAGGTTGTTGCCCTTGAAAATGCTGGTAAGTTGTATCCTAGGTTTTAAAAGAATGTTGAGCATCTCATGCTTTGAAAGACCTTCACGGGGGAACATTACACCCAGGAGCTCACTTGGTTTTCCTTTTTGAAGTCTGGTGCATAGAGCAATAAAGATTTCTCCGCCCTCCCCTCCCCCCAGGCCTGTGTGCTGGCCTTGACGCTTCTGGTCCTTCTCCTGTCCTCCTCCGTCACTGAAGGCCGTGAGCCGCTTTCAGTGGGACACAACTATATGATGTCATTTGGAAGAATTTGCTGGGATACACCGGTCCTTGGTTAAGGACGATGTGCGTGTACCCAGCAGTGTCGTAAAATGGTCTCGTTTGAAGCTTTTCATGAACATCTTTGCCACCGAGAACAAAATGTTGGCAAGAGGTGAAACACCTGATTTTAAAAAGAAAATGCTGATTTGAGGACAAGAGGAAAGGTCTCTTTTCACTGCTTGAAGTAAGGTCACTGAAACTATCTTTGCGATCACATGTGAGTTTGTTCTCTTAGTGTGAAATTGCGTGAAATTGCTTTACCGTGTGCTGCTGAGTCATTTACCCACCAAGTTGGGAGTGTCGTGCGGGAAATATAAAAGGCAAAATATACGACCAGGCCCGTGAGCTGTTAATGGTGTAAGAGTCTCATGTTAAAAAAAAGAAAAAAAAAAAAAA